CGAAGGAATTTTTTCTGAGTGTTCGATCTTTGTATTAATAATTATAAAAAGGATTAATGAAGATTATATAAGATAATAAAGATGAATGAAGTAGAAGTAGAAGCTACACATTGAAGGATCTTGTTCTGTTTGCTGTTGAGACCTGTTGAGGCGGTCGGTATTTGAACAAAAGTGTAAAGCTTGATGTGCTGTTGACTGTACATCAAAGACACATACCTATGTATATATATGAAATACAGTATCTAAGTTAAGTTACTTCTTACTGCCACGCAGAGGTCCTGGGTTTGATTCATAGGCCGGAACAAATATTTATATCGCCTACATTTATTTCTCTCGTGAGCTTGAGTGTTCTATGTGTGTATTCATGGCACCCGCGATACAGAGTTTCCCTAGTGCGGGTATTTTAAATTTTCGCCTCTCTTTATTATTATATTATATTATTATTATTAAATACTAACCTTTCAAAGAAATTCAGCGCTCCGTTAGCATTACCAGCAAAGGCAACTCTACCCTCAGCCAAAAACACCAATCTATCAAATAAAGCGACGAGCTCCGAAGACGGCTGGTGAATAGTACAGATGACAGTCTTGCCTTGTGCTGCACTGGCTCGGAGTAACATCATTAGTTTTTGAGCTGACGAGGAATCAAGACCTGTTGTTGGTTCGTCACAGAATAGAAGCCCAGGATCTGTTAAAAGCTGAAATCATGCCCTTGATATAATAAAGTTACATGTGGTTATACAACATTAAATCGGAGTCATACTTTCTCAGGCTCGTGTCTTATAAAGAGTGATTATTTAGGAGATGGCAAAACTTTCTATTTATTTTAAATTTCTTATCAAGGGTGTTAATTTGGTTGCATTACTTTAAGAATAGGTAAAAAAAGCCAGTGTGTGAATACGAAGGAAATGTGATGTGACATCTGCCTTTTTTTTTAAAAAAAAAAAAGGCTGATGTCACATCACATTTCCTTGCAAAATTTGTATACATATACAATCCATTTTTTTAATTTCAATAACTTTGTGCTTTAAGATACGAGTTTGAGAAAGTAAAGCGAAGAAATAACTTTTTTATAAAAAAAACCGACCTCAAAAGTTCGTGGAATTACATATATTTGCCAAGTTTTATTGAAACCGGTTAGTGGAAAGTGCATGAAACCGGATACATCCCCTAGTTTCGCACCCTTAGAGGTGGAAAAATTTTTCAAATTTAAAAGAGGTACTGGTACTGGGTACCCTCTTTCCAACAAAACAAAAATCATCGAAGTCGGATCACAAAGTAAACGCGTTTAATATATGTACATACATAAAAAATACATACTAATGGAGAAACTCCTCCTTTTTTTGAAGTCGGTTAAAAATGCTTTTGTCAAATGAAAGTCATATAGATAATACAAACTACATGAAACAAATTATGTATAAAGCACTGCTATTATAGTAGTGTTGTAACTCAAAATACGTGTAATTCAAGATTATACCATTGTTGAACGTAAAATTTTATTTTCTACACGTCAATAAAACCGTCGTTAGAATATTGTAAGAAACAATTAAAAGATGCCTATTTACTTATCTCAAAATTAGACAAACTTTATGTAAGCTAGTTATGGACAAAACAGTCTTTAATCAATTATAACATTATTTTTAAATATATTTTTGGCAAATAGGAAATTGTTTAGATGTCTGTAATAAACTTACATATATTTATTTTACATATACATATATTTATTTATTTACATATATACATAAAATTGATTAATTTTTCACGAGAAGTGAGAATTTCGATATGGAAATTTTATAATTCTCCTATTTAAACATAAGATTTTTTAAACCTCACTCCTGAGTTGTCATTTTTCAGATGTGGCATTATTGCCAAGGGTGCGAAATAATGTAACTTAAACTGCTTTCTGTGTTGTTTTGTTTACGTGTTTTTTTTACATATTTTTTAGTTTGGTTTCGATAAGTCATGGTATGATAAGTCAGTATTTAATAAAACTGAACTACTCTCCTTCCCGAATTTGAAGCATTTAGGATTAAAATTAAATTTCATGCCACATATTTGAAGCTAACCTTTGGCGTGCTTTTTACATAGCTATAGGAATCGAACCTGAGACCACCGGGACACCATGAAAACGGGTGTGCAAAACACTCGAGTACGGAGGTTGTCAAAATTTAGTTTAGTTGCAAATGAAGTTTCAAAAGGGCTTTGCAAGAAGATAATGTAGCACGGTATCATTCTGCTTTTGTTATAACCCTTATATGTCCTTACCTCAGTTGCAAATGCAAGCCTCTTCCGTTCTCCACCAGACAAGGTCTTACGGCCATCCAAACCTCCTATCCTGGTATACCTGGCTCCATACAACGCGAGTTGTCTTAGCAGTTGGTTTACTCGTCTTTTCCGTGCTAGTGATGATGTTCTTCGGTCCATTCGGAGACGAGCCTAAGTAGAGAATAAAAAACTTGTATCAAACATCAACATTATATTTTTCTTTGCAAACTTTTACGAGGTACGTTTTTTTAAACAAAAAAAAACTCCTCGAAATTGGTTTACATAATATATGTCGTAATAATCGCTTACATACACACAAAACAAAAACAATCCAACTGAGAACCTTGTTTTTTTGAAGTCGATTAATAAACAAACGCCGCACAAATTACCTGGTCTTTTAAATCCCTGTACTACGAGTACCAGAGCCACGGAATTTACTCCGGGGCATGTCCCGGAACACCCTGACCAGAACTAATTTAGAAAATGTCATTTCCCAAATTGGTTCTACCGGGAGTCCAACCCGGGATATCCTCATCCAGCGCCCACAGGGCAAACCGTTTTGCCACCGAGATTAAACAGCAGGAGAAGAATCAAAAGTATCTGTACAGGATTATTTATAAAGTATTAACGTTGCAGGATTATATTAACAAAATCAGCAGCTGTTTCCTGACTTTTTACAAAACTTAATAAATTTAGTAAAAATAGACCTTTAAGTTTTCGTTCTACCATCTGACACTTTTTAGATCTGTTATTTAGTAGTCAGGTAGGTAGTAAACGTGGAATTCTCCTCAATTTGTGTGCAAAAGCTTTCTTTTGTTACCGATATGTTTTTATTTTTGTAAGAAAGTAAATCGGATGAATTATTAAAAATCATGGAACAAAAGCTTTTGTTTATGATGTTTGTAATATACTCCTGCGAGGTTGTTATTATTTTATAAATAACTCTGCATAAAAATATTTTTGAATTACGTGCCTGTTTATGTAAGACAAATCAAATATGATTTTTTTTACAAAATTTCGAAACGGAATTACCGTTCACACATATTGATTATGTATGTTTCATGTTTTTTTTTGCGCCAAACGGATTTTTTGGGACAAACTTATATCCTTATGTTTAAAATTACCATGAATAAACAACATCTTACCATAATACTAAGGTGTTCCATAACAGTTAAGTTATCTACAAAGATGTCATCTTGGTGCATGTATCCACTCTGTCTGTGCATGAAATCGCTAATGGGCATACCGTTCATTGCTATCTCTCCATCCACGACTGTTCCCACTAGTGTCAAAATAAAAAGAAAAATTTTGGAACAAATAACAAAATCACAATTAATAACCTATACAAATTCCATCGTAGGCCGGTCATTCTCGAACTAGTGTTCACTACCTAATTTTCGTGGCAATTTTCATTATTTAAATATTTAAGTACATTATCGTATAATTATTAAATAATATTTCACGATACCGTACTCGAATCGTAAATAATATTGCACGATAAAAACATCGAATAAAAATTGCCATGGAAATTAAATTGTGAACGTTAGTCCGAGAATGACCGAAGAAGAGATGGGAAAGCACCAGGATTTTAACTTGGCGCTTTATTTAAATCGGGTTAAAACCCATCAACGCCAGAAATGGAGGGCATAAACTATTTACAACTAAACATTTGTTGTAAATACAGTTTTGTTCAAATTTAATGATATTATTACAAAATGTTTATTGCTTTCTAATCTAGACAATTCAATTTGCCATTCTATTAAAATGAATCTCTTGAAAATCTCATTAAAATAAATCGATATAAAAAGTCGTTAGACCGAATGCACTAGAATCGATTTTTATTATAATCGAATCGTAATGTGCATCCTTATTAATGAAAATCCACAGGATTGCAATTCTATGGAGCGGCTTCTTTTTCGTCTACAAAAGATTTTTTACATCCAAATTTGCAATAACTATGGAATTATTACTAAATTCCGTATTCGCCGTTTCCCCCCAAAAAAGCCCGGTCAAAGCCCGGGCGGGTTGACTGAGTTTTGACCCACTGCCCTGATCGTAGGACATTTGATCTTCTCTAAGTTGTGGGGTTGGACCATGTTTTCCTTGGAAAAGTTACGGGAACCTTCATGGTCGTAATAAGTTCTTAAGAGCTAGATACACAACATCTTATTGAATAATAAATTAAATGAGTTATTTACTAGGTTTTTAAAAATTCTTTAATGTTGTAATAGCATTTTTCTAAAAGGAAACCTCAGGCGTGCAGGTTTCATCGCGATGTGTTCCTTCCTATTTTTTTATTATTTAATCCGAGGCAAACGTACTTCCGACTGCCACAAAAATATTTATTATAAAAATAGTTCCAACGCTGTGTTGTGGATCCAAGAAGCGTTTCGCTGCCACATTTACATGGCGAATAGCTATAGAGTGGAATTCCCTGCCTGCAGACTTGTTCCCTGAACGTTTATAACTTGTACCTTTTGAAGGCGAAAGTGAATAATTATTATTTAGGTGTGCATACTCCATCGTCGACTTCATCGTCACGGTTCAGCACTTTTTTTAATAATAAAAAAAATATTTAACAAAGTCTATAATTTAGTACCTGAGCTACGGGTAATGTTTTGACAATCAATAATTTATCTTAACCATTCATTTTCTCTCGAATAATGAAAACGAGTTTGAATTATGTATTTTCATTGACTGATAATAGAAAGTCTGTGCAAATTTTGAATACAATCATTGTATTATTTGTTTTTCCCAACAATTAAATTATCAGTGTTAGCTATGCCATATTCTCGATTAAACTAGAGTAATGTGTATTTGATAAGTGGCAGTGTACGGTAATACCTAATTTGGTTTTTGTGATACTATACAATTATATACATATTTACGTAAACTCTGTTACGTTTATAAAAAAAAATAAAAATAAAAACGCAAATAATGATTGAGTAAGATTTTGTAGATTTTTACTCAATCATTATCAATCGCAATTTAATTGGTTTTAATTTGTTTAAATACTTGACTTATTACTATACAAGTTATTTTAAATTTGATAAATAATGTTTAAAGTATTTCTTAACATTTAAGCAAGTCTTCTAGATTTATTCAGCATATTTCTCACCTGGGCTTCTATGTGCTAACGCCGACATTAATGTGGTTTTACCAGCACCGCTGTAAAAGAGACATAATAATATGTCACGTAAACAATACAACTGTATTTTAAACACTGTCCCATGTTAATTAAATGTGTTTAACGTTGTTTCAATTCAGATAAGAGATACGCAAATTTTAAGGTTCTTAATTTTTTTCAAAAACATCATGCAGTGACATTTTGAAATATTAAAAAATGTTCTCAAATTGTTTATGTTTAACATAATGGATGATTTGGAGTGACCTGTTGTTCGTACTTTTACCGATTCCCATCCACACCGATTTCCATCGGCTTTTTTTTTATGTTACCAAGTGACTGGACGAACAAGTGGTGCGCCTTTGTTGCAGTGCTACACTAAAATTGCAAAGACCTGAGGGGCACTGCCAATACGCCCGTCACCCTGAGGCATAAGCTGACAAGTTCCATGTTTCTCGAATTTTACCAGTATCATTTCCCTTCAAAACTGGAATGCAATAATGTTCACGTTACTGTTTAGCGGCAGAAATAGGTAAGGTGGCAGTACTTCCCTGGACGAACTCTTTCAAAAGAGCTCTACTGATATTAAGTTAGTTACTACTACTTGTTCTTGATTGAAATAAAGTTTCAGCTTTTCCACATAACAAATAAAATTAGAGGCATGTTTTTTTTCTTAAGAAAAAGACTTAAATTCTCCTTCTTGTAATATTTTCCAAATACACGTTAGACATTTTACATTTCCAGTGTCGTATCAATGATTTATTCTCTAAAAAGTATACGCTAAAAAAAGATTTAAAAACAAAAAAAAATTGTGACCATGGGACCTGTAAAGGGCCCGAAACGTCAGTTTATTTGAAAAAACAAATAGACGCGATTTAAATCCGGAAAAATAGTTTCATTTCCTATGTGTAACAATCGCGAAAACCTAAGAACTCGAAACAAAAAAAAACTTGAAATTGTACCAGAGAATATTTGATCAAATGTTGTGATTTAAAGCAAAAAAAATTAACTATTAGCCATTCTTTAAGTTAATAGTTCTTGTAGTTTATCATTACGTGACGAAACTGGGCTTGCTGAAGTAGAAACTAGTGAAACGCGAGACGGGCGCCGACCCAGAGCGGAATTTGGATCATTTTCACGAGCTCTACATTACTTATTGTAGGCTCGATTGGATATACCATTATTATTTTTCGCATGAACTAATTTATATACCTGAATATGAAATAAAATCAAACCATTAGAGGGTAGTTTTCTCCACTTAGATAAATCGTCACTGATTAAGTGTAATTAGTTTGTCTATATAATTCAATATTTCAGGTTAGTAGACTCGAATATTAAAAAAATACTTCATGATAATATTCTAAAATATTTAAATGATAAAAATTGCCACCGAAATTAGTTAGAGAAAATTAACCTGAAAATTACCACAGAAAGTCCGACACACTCCATCCTTATATCGTACTGTAGTTTAGGCTCTACTCTATAAGTAGAATCACTGGCTGAATGAATAGTTTTGTAATTAGAATGTGTTATGAAAAAGGAAGTAAGAAAAGAATGGAGCATCTTGACATAACGAATATAACCCAACGCCGAAAGTATGTAAATAAGTGCAATAAAGTATATTTTTGAAGATTATTCCAGTTTAAATTCATAAAAGTACCTCTCGCTACGCAACCCAAGCTACGCCTCAGTTACAGT